AAAATGATGGCGGTCTGGTTACATTAAATTGCCATATTGTCAGGAGTTTTCTCAGATCCTGCATGAAATCTCTGATTATATACTATTAGGCAAATCGTCCAGGGATGGGTACTCAGAAACTGGGAGTTCTTGTGCATCAATCCCTAAGGGGATCAGGCGCAGCAGTAGTAGGGATATTGCAGTTTTAATTAATTAATTTAAAGTAGATATGTTACTCCTTCTCTCATCTGAACACATATTACTTAATATAAACTGTGCTTAAACATTACTGATGTAGTCAATAGACATCAATGAGTGGTTGTTTTTCAGTTAATATACCAGTCCTACAATAACTGGCTGGTGTGCAGAAAGGTTGAATTTTGTGGCAAAGTCAAAGGTTCTACGACTGGGTGGATGCTGCTGCCTTTTGGCAGGGAGCAGGCTGGGAATCAGTATTTTGTGACAACTGTTCAATTAACTACAAAAAGGGGGAGGAGGTGTCCAGCAAACAACAGTGGCAAGATAAGACCATACCACTGGATGTGCATGCACCATAGTTAAAAGTACTGGCAGCACTCAATGAACACAATCCAACCATAAAGAAACCTGAGTGGAGAATTGAGAAAGAAGGCATGTCAAAGAGTGGCAGAGTGAAGATCCTAGTTGGCACAACATTCCTGCAGATTCTTTAGGCTGTTAAGGTAAAACAGGAGTTCTTTTTTACCCCAGGACAGGTGCAGGACATTCAGCTACCCTACCAAGCAAGGCTAGATGAAGATTGCTGAGGATGTCAGCAACCCCTCTATTCTATTCATTTGTGGGATGTGATCATCGCTGGCTGGCCAGCATTTCTTGCCCATCCCTAGTTGCCTTTGAGAAGGTGGTGGTGAGCTGCCTTCTTGAACCACTGCAGTCCTCCTGCAGTGGGTTGACCCACAATGCTATTACAGAGGGAATTCCAGGATTTTAACCCTGCAACAGTGAAGGAACAGCGATATATTTCCAAGTCAGGATGGTGAAAGACTTGGAGGGGAACTTGGAGTTGGTGGTGTTCCCATATGTCTGATGCCCTTATCCTTCTAGATGGAAATGGTTGTGGGTTTGGAAGGTGCTGTCTGAGGATCTTTGGTGAATTTCTGCAGTGCATCTTGTAGACAGTATACACGGCTGCTACTGAGAATCGGTGGTGGACGGAGTGAATGCTTGTGGTGTAGTGCCAATCAAGTGGGCTGCTTTATCCTGGATGGTGTCAAGCTTCTTGCGTGTTGTTGGGGCTGCACTCATCCAGGCAAGTGGGGAGTATTCCATCACACTCCTGACTTGTGCCTTGTAGATGGTGGACAGGCTTTGAGGAGTCAGGAGATGAGTTACTCGCCGCAGTATTCCTAGCTTCTGGCCTCCTCTTGTAGCTACTGTGTACATGTGGTGAGTCCAGTTGAGTTTCTGGTCAATCGTAACCCTAGGATGTTGATAGTGGGGGATTCAGTGATGGTAACACCATTGAATGTCAAGGAATGGTGGTTAGATTGTCTCTTATTGGTGTTGATCATAGCCTGGCATTTGTGTGGCATGAATGTCACTTGCCATTTGTCAGCCCAAGCCTGGATATTGTCCAGATCTTGTTGCATTTGAACATTGACTTCAGTATCTGAGGAGTCACGAATGGTGCTGAACATTGTGCAATCATCAGCAAGCATCCCCACTACTGACCTTATATGGAGGGAAGGTTATTGATGAAGCAGCTGAAGATGGTTGGGCCTAAGACACTACCCTGAGGAACTCCTGCAGAGATGTCCTGGAGCTGAGATGGTTGACCTCCAACTATCACAACCATCTTCTTATACGTCGGGTATTACTCCAACCACCATAGTTTGCCCCCTAATACCCATTGATTCCAGTTTTGCTCGGGCTCCTTGATGCCACATTCAGTCGAATGCAGCCTTGATATCAAGGGCTGTCACTCTCACCTCACTTCTGGGATTCAGCTCTTTTGTCCATGTTTGAACCAAGGTTGGAATGAGATCAGGAGCTGAGTGGACCTGGCGGAACCCAAACTGGGCATCACTGAGCAGGTTATTTCCGAGCAGGTACTACTTGATAGCACTGTTGATGGCACCTTTCAACCCTTTAGTGACAATCAAAAGTAGAATGATGGGGCGGTAGTTGGCCGGGTTGGATTTGTCCTGTTTTTTGTGTACAGGACATACTTGGGCAATTTTCCAAATTGTCGGGTAGGTACCAGTATTGTAACTGTACTGGACTGCTTGGCTTGGGGAGCAGCAAGTTCTGGAGCACAAGTCTTCAGTACTATTGCTGGAATGTTGTCAGGGCCCTTGTCCTTTGCAGTATCCAGTGTCTCCAACCATTACTGGATATCACATGGAATGAATCGAATTAGCTGAACACTGGTGTCTGTAATGCTGGGGACCACTGGAGGAGGCTGAGATGGATCATCCACTCAGCACTTCTGGTTGAAGATTGCTGCGAATGCTTCAGCCTTATCTTTTGCACTGATGTGTTGGGCTTTTCCATCATTGAGAATGGGGATATTTGTGGAGCCTCCTCCTCCAGTGAGTTGTTTAATTGTCCACCACCATTCACAACTGGATGTGGCAGGAGTGCAGAGTTTAGATCTGATCCGTTGGTTGTGGGATCGCTTAGCTCTGTCTTACCACTTGCTGCTTTCACTGTTTGGTGTGCAAGTATTCTTGTTTGGTGGCTTCACCAGATGGATACCTCATTTTCAGGTATGCCTGGTGCTGCTCCTGGCATGCCCTCCTGCACTCTCCATTCAACCAGAGTTGATCCCCTGGTTTGATGGTAATGGTTGAGTGGAGGATATGTCGGGCAATGAGGTTACAAACTGTGCTGGAGTACAATTCTGCTGCTGGTGATGGATGCCCAGTCTTGAGTTGCTAGATCTGTGTGAAGTCTGTCCCATTCAATACAGATAGTGCCGCACAACACGATAGAGGGTGTTCTCAATGTGAAGGTGGGACTTCTTCTCCACAAGGACTGTGCCATGGTCACTCTTACGGATACTGGCATGGACAGATGCAACCGTGTAGTCATCACTCAATCCTAGATGCGGTATTGCAAGCAGGTTAATGATCATGTTATCTGTCAAGGTGAATGCACCATATCTTGCTTTCTTTAGGGTCTAACATGTGGGTGAGCTTCCTGAAAATGAAACACTCACTTAGCCATCACAAATGGGGCTAGACTGCAGAAATGCCCTTCGAAGACATGGTAGCATCTCATAGAATGGCCCTGGGCCCGCAACTTAACTCCTGCGATGTAGTTTCTGAGTGGTTGCATGCAGAAGGTATTACTTTTCTCTAGTCAGATGGCCACCAGCATTGACATTTTGTGTGAAGCCATGGTGCCACGTTCCTTCATTCCTGACTCCCATGAAAAAGGATGCTGCCAAACTTGGAAAATAGTATGAGGCAATTCTGTTGAAGATGATGAGGCAAGAATATAGAAAAAAAGTGTGCTGGAATCTGTACTGAACACAAAAAAATGTTCAATATCACAAAGGGTCAGGCAACGTCTATGGCGAGAAAGCAAGCAAATGTCTTGAGTAGTCGTTTGCAGAACACCTCCAATCCACACACAAGCATGACCCTGACCTGGTCATTTTAACATAGCGTCCTGCTCGCATGCCCATTTATCCGTCCTCGGCCTGCTGAAAATGCTCCAGTGAATCACAGCAGTGAATCACAGCAAAAACAGGAGCAGCAACAACTCATCTTCAGACTAGGCAGTTCTAAGGAAGGGTAACTGGACCCGAAACGTTCACTCTGATTTTTTCTTCCCAGATGCTGCTGGACGTGCTGAGCTTTTCCAGCAACTTTGTTTTAGTTCCTGAATATTGTAATGGACTTAAGAATATGAGACATAGAAGCAGTAATAAGTCATTCAAGTTCTTCAATCTGCTGTGTCAGTCAATAAAATCATAGTTGATCTGATTGTGAACTTAAGTCCACTTACCTGCCTACCTCCCACCCAAACCCCTCCTATCCCACAATTTCCTGTCAATCAAAAGTCTGTCTAATTAAGGTTAGGTGCACCTGTGGTCTCACTGCCTCTTGGCATCTTGGTAACCCCTTGGTAACTGTACAAGGCCCCAAACACACCTTCCAGGTGAAGCAGCATTTTGTTTGTACTTCTTTCAATCTAGGCCACAGCATTCACTGCTCACAATGCAGTCTCCTTTACCTTGGTGAGACCATAAAAAAAACTGCTTTATGAAACATCTCTGTTCCCTCCATAGAAATGACCCTGACCTCTAGTTGTCCATTTCAGTAAACTATCTCACTATCATGTTAACATTTCTATTCAATGCCTGTTGTAATGTTCCAACAAAGCACAACATAAGCTTGGGGAACAACATTTCACTTTTCACTTTGACACTTTACAACTTTGAAGTCTCAATACTGAATTCAATAACATCAGAATCTGATTGCATCATGTCTGTTATCCTTTTTTTTCATTCTTCACACACCCCTCTCCCCCAAGCCCCACCACAGCCTTCTCTTGTTTTTGATCTTGCTAACTTTGCTGTTAGTATACAAGATCCATTCTCTCCCATTCACAGATAACAAGGTGTAGAGCTGGATGAACACAGCAGACCAAGCAGCATCAGAGGAGCAGCAAAGTTGACGTTTCGGGTCGGGACCCTTCTTCAGAAGATTTCCACACTGTGTTAAAGTTTTGGATCTAGTCACCCTTCATCAGAACTTGAGTCTGTCATTCAGTATTTTGGAGGGGTGGGAGAGATGGGATTGCCATGACAGCAAGACACCTTTGAAGCAGACTTCAGTGGAATCGCAGTGCTCGCTGCAGGCTTTAAGACCCAGATGGATCCTTCCAGCGCTGGAGCGGGTGAAAGATGCCGATAGTCGGGCGGCGAAGCGGAAACTATTTTGATGGACATTGCAAAGAACCACTCAATTACAAAGCTCGGCCGCGCGGCGTTTCGGTTAGCCAATGAATGAGAGGGGAAGGCGGGCCAGTTGGTGATCGGCATAAGTTGAGAGGAGAGTGCGGAACTAACGCGGTCGCTGTGGGAACCGTAACAGCTGGAGTGGAACCAATGGCAGTTAACGGCGGCCAGCGCGAGACTGACTGATGGTGACAGTTGGAAACAACAGTCAAGCGGTATGTAACTGTATGTTTACTCTGCACACTTAGATCCCGTTCACACAGAACTAAACTATCATTGAATTCTTAGTTCATATGTAGAAATACTTTCTCATCCTGCCGAATATCCGGTTATTTTTTTTAAAATCAGCGTACCTTTCTTTGGCAGTTTGTAGCTTCGTGAGAAAAATATAGAATTTGCTTCTCCGATAAATATATTATCGTCGGTTCTCCTCTTACCATCGAACCCCAATTCATTATTTTGAACCTCAACTGTTCTGATAGAATTTTTGTTTACCATATTATCTCCACCCCTCAAAATAAAGGATAAAACAGTTCATGAATAATAAATATCGTCTCCAACCTCCATGGTTACATTTAATTAAATATATATTATTGAAAGCTTTCAACTTTGTTTTTATTGCGGTTTACTTTTCATTAACAGAAACGTGTGCATTTCGTATGTGTAAACAGAAAATAATTCGAAATCTTTACATTTATCTCTGAACATGGTATTTCTTACATTAAATATGTTGTGATTTTTGGTGAAGATGATCTAAACAAAGTAATTTTTGCTTCTTCCCTTTTTCCTGGCATCGAGATCCAAATTAGTTTTAAGACTTAACTGCCCATCGTTACACATTTAAATTAGAATAGAGAATGAAAATAGATGCGGACCTGATGAAGAAAATATATTTGCAGAAACAGTTTTTAAAGGATCATAGGAACGTACCAGTGGCAGCAGAAACTTTTAGTTGTAAAACTTGAGTTACTTAACAAATTGAAAAAAAAAGTTATAGTTATTCGTTATTGACTAGAAGCTCTTAAGGTTGTGAAAGGTACAGTAACAATTTGCTCTTTCTCCTGCATTCTTCTGTAACTTGCTCAAATGTTATCAAAGTAACAATGAAGCTAATGGTTCAGTTTGTGCAGCAACTTGAGATCAGGAGCAGATGGGCTTAAATGCCAATGTGAAAATTTTATTGAAGTTGTGTTGCCCACAATAAGTTTTTCATAAATGATTTTTTTATCTGCATCACCATTGATATGTAATGCAAATATTCTTAAAACAGAATTTCAAGTGTGTTGATTACACTTGTATTTAAGAAGCTGATAAAGTGAAAAGTATATGAGATTCCTGTCCAACAAATTCCTGGCTATCCACAAAAAGTTTGAGGTCCAAAGGGCATAATCTCAGAGTAAGAAGTCATCCAATTAAGATTGAGATTAAGGAGGATTTTTTTTTTCTCTGAGGATGGTGGATCTGTGGACTTCTTTACTATAGAAGACTTATGAGGCTGGATCATTAAGTATGTTCAAGGCTGAGATTAACATCTGTCGTAAGTAAGGGAATCAAGATTTATGGGAATAAGGCAGGTCTGCGTGGGTTGCCTTCGGGTGCTCTGGTTTCCTCCCACAGTCCAAAGATGTGCAGGCTAGGTAGATTGGCCATGCTAAATTGCCTATAGTGTTCAGGGATGTATAGATTAGGTGGGTTATAGGGGGATGGGTCTGGGTGGGATGTCTGAGGATTGATGTGGACTTGTTGGGCCAAAGGGCCTGTTTCCACACTGTAGGGATTCCATAAAAAAAACAAAGAGCTGACATAATTGAATGACAGAGCCGACTCATTGGGCTGAGTGGCCTACTACTGCTCCAATGAATGAGCTATTTTCTATCACACACCTCTAAAGCAGATGGGACTTGAACCTCAACCTTCTGGATCAGTAGTAGGGATACTATGACTTTGCTGCACGAGCTACCGGCTCCAACATCTTAGAAATATTGCTAATCAGCCTAATAAGACATGTACATGTCATGACACAAATCTGGAATAGGTGGGACTTGAACGCAGGCCTCCTGACCCAGAGGTAGGGATACTACCACTGCACCACTGGAGCCCTTTAGATATTTTCCAATCAGTCTGTTCAGAGTTCTTCTGACAAACCTCTGTCGTATTCGGGACTCCTGTGGCAGGTCTGAGCCTCCAGTCTCAGTGAGAGGAATACTTCCACCTTGCCACAGGAATCCCTTTACTGGAGCCCCTTAACATTTTTATTTAAAATTTATCACATTTCATAATTTGAATGTTTGCTTCCCAGAGTGAGTGTTTATTTCTTATACTGGGGAGGGGTCATGATCTGCCTTCCTTGCTTCAGGACCCTAACATCAGAAGCATAGATATTTTCTAATCAACTTCTTCAGAGTCGTTACTACACAACCCTGGAACAAGTGGGACTCAAATCCAGGCCTCTTAGCCCAGAGGTATGGACACTATCACTGCATGACAAGAGCCCTTTTTTTATAGGTATATGTTTTATAGGTAGGTTCTTTACTCAGAAAATGGTAGGGGCGTGGAATGCACTGCCAGAGCGGGTAGTGGAGTCAGCCTCATTAGGGGCATTTAAGCGGCTATTAGATAGGCATATGGATGATAGTATAAAGTAGGGGTGGAGGTTAGATAGACCTTGAGTTTAGGGTAAAAGTTCGGCACAACAGCGTGGGCCGAAGGGCCTGCACTGTGCTGTACTGTACTGTACTGTTCTATGTTCTATGTTCTATGTTCTATAACAAAGGATGCTTTTATATACCTGAATGGTTTCTTTACCACCGTGTTACATTTCTAAACTTTCTCCTCTACCGCTAAATCATCTGTGTTTCAAATTAAATTACCAGTTTACATGCAAAGCCAGTCAGGTAGTGCAAAGACAACAAAAATGAGGGAAAGGTATAGAGAGAGAGGGTGGGAATTATGTCAGACTAGAATTTTAAGGGGAAATAAGGCATTTTACACCCTCACCCTGCCCCTTGCAGTGCCCACCTCTCTTTTAAGCCATCAAAAGTGTTTACTAGAACCCCTTAGATAGTTTCCTAATCAACCTGTTGAGAGATATTATGAAACATTTCTGCAGCAAGTGACAGGCAAGGCAGACAGTAACATTAAGGAAATTGTCAATACTGGATACCCAGGGCTTAAAATGGTAGAAGCCCCAGAGGAGTTAAGAATGTACAAGGGGAAACTTAAAAAGGAAACTGGGAGAGCAAAAAAGTTTGAAAGGATATTGACAGGTAAAATATGGGACAATTTTAGAAGTACATTAAGAGTAAAGGATATTGAGAGAAAGAGTGGGGCCCATTAAGGAGCATAGTGGTAATTTGTGCGCAGAACCAGAAGATGTAGGTAGGGTTCTAAATAAATACTTTGTGTCAGTATTCGCTAGTGAGATGGACAATAGGGTAACAAAATCAAGGTGCAAGACTGAGATATAATTAAAGAAATTAGCATAGGCAGAGAGAAAGTTGTGAGTGGTCTGGAAGACTTAAAAGTAGATAAATCTCCAGGGCTTGATCAAATGTATCTCAGTCTGTTAAGTGAAGCGAGGCTGGAAATAGAAGAGAGGGTGGCAATAATTTTCAATTCTTCTCTTGCCACAGAATAGGTGCCCGAGGACTGGAGGGCGGCTAATGTTGTACCATTATTTAAGAAGGGCTACAAGGAAAAGCCAGGGAACTTGTAGTGATTGGAACGAAGGCCAGGTGGATCTCATTGATAATGAGAGACTTGATTGGAGCTGTTAACCTGGGCTAATCAGGGAACCCTGGCTGACAGATATAAATATGGGATTCAGAGTCTCCTCACTTCAGGGACTGACTCCAAGCTAGCTGGCCACAGCTAGTGTATCGTGTACATGAGAATAAAGAATGACTTGGTGATGAGATACCAGCTTCTGTGCAGTTAATTTGGAAGCAATGAGAGAAAACAGTACATTCCTGAAGAAATTTCATTCGCAACAGTCGTCTTTGAGTTGGGGTAAGCATTTCTGGCATCATTCCTTAATTTGGGATGCTTGACTCGTTCGATCTGCCATCAAAGATGGGGCCCAGTATGTGGAAAGAATGTGTTATTTTTTCCAGGCAATTGGGGCAGATGAAAAGTAATGAGCAATTCTTCTGACTGCTTGCAGACCTGTGGCATTTTCAGCTATCAGGAGCCTCACTTTCCCTGATGCACCAGATGCTAAAACCTTTCACGAGTTGATAGATTTAGTTAAGGAATATTACAGCCTCAAGCCTTGTCTAATTCTAAGACACTATTGGTTTTGTTTGGCTAATCAAGAGCCAGGGGAATCTGTATTGGGATTTTTGACAAAGTTAAGATGACTGGCAGAGTCATGTCATTTTAGGTAAACTCTGAATGAGTTGCTAATGGGGAGAAGACTCCATACCAAGTTAAACCTGATATTCCCGGATCTGGGGGTGAGGGCAAAACAGCAACAGGAACACCAGTGCCGGCGACATGCCTACTCTAAGCGAGAGAGACAATTTACTTCAGGGTATGAAATTTGGTGTCAAAACCACAGAAATGGCCCTGCATGGGTACAAGGCGAGGTTGACATGAGGTCAGGTCCCATGACATACAAAGTTTGGGTAGGTGAGAAGATCCTGAACCAACATGTGGGTCACATGAAAGCTGCTACCTCACAAACGGAGCAGGAGCAAAACATACCTGGCCCCTCAGAACAGCCAGAAAGGCTGTCAGAAACCATCCATGTAGCACCAAAGAAACTTCTGAGTCCGAGAATAATCCGGCCTCAATATCATTACCATCTGAAGAAGAGGAGGAAACTCTCCCAATACACTCTGGGCATGAGAGATGGGCTGCGGTCTGGTACATGCTGCCCATGCCCAAGTCAGAGTCAGAGGAACCAGACCGTGCTGAAAACAAATCAGGAGAAGCAACAAGAAAAAGAACAGGCCTGCGTCTCCAGACTTATGGGGGGAGGGATGTAGTGATTGGAATAAGGGCTAGGTGGATCTCAGTGACTATGAGATCCTTAATTGGGATTAGGCCAATCAGGGAACCCTGGCTATCAGATATAAATAGGAGATTCAGAGAGTGTCCATCCTAGGGACTGGCTGGTCAGAGTCCATGTATTTTGCATGTGAATAAAGGGTGACTTGATGACAGGATACTGGCCTTTTTGCAGTTAATTCAGAACTGCAGATCAGCGAGCCTGACATGAGTGATGGGTAAGTTGTCGGAGGGCATCCTGGGAGACAAGATCTACATGCATTTGGAAAGGCAAGAACTGACTGGGGATAGTCAGCATAGCTTTGTGCATTGGAAATTGTGTCTCACAAACTTGATTGAATTTTTTGAAGAGGTGACCAAGAAGATTGATGAAGGCAGAGGGGTAGATGTTGTCTACATGAACTTTAGCAATGCCTTCAACGAGGTTCTGCACGGTATACTGGCTAGGAAGGTTATGTTGCATCCAGGGAGACGTAGCCAATTGGATACAAAATTGGTTGTCAGTAGGAAACAGAGGGTGGTGGTACAGCATTGTTGTTCAGACTGGACGTCTGTGACCAATGATGTGCTGCAAGGATCGGTGCTGGGTCCACTTTATATAAATTCATCATTTATATAAACAACTTGGATGAGTACACGGGAGGCAAGATTAGTAAGTTTGCAGATGACACAAAAATTGGCGGTATAGTGAACAGTAAAGGAAGTTATCCAAGAGAATAATGACGCCTAGATCAACTGGCCAGTGGCCAAAGATTGGCAGATGGAGTTTAATTCAGATAAATGTGAAGTGTTGCATTTTGCAAAAACAAACCAGGCCAGGACTTAATGGTAGGGTCCTGGGGGCTTTGTTGAACAGAGAGACCTAGGGGTGCAAGTACATAGTTCCTTGAAAGTGACGTCACAGGTAGACAGGATGGTGAAGAAGGCATTTAGCACACTTGCCTTCATCAGTCAGAGCATTGAGTACAGGAGTTGGAATGTCATGTTATGGCTATACAAGGCATTGGTAAGACCACATATGGAGTACTGCGTACAATTCTGGTCACCCTGCTGAAGGAAGGATGTTATTAAACTGGAAAGGGTACAAAAAATATTTACAAGGATGTTACCGAGACTGGAGGGTTTGAGTTATAGGGCAACGTTGGTTAGAATCATAGAATCATCATAGAATCCCCACAGTGTGGAAACAGGCCCTTAGGCCCAACAAGTCCACACCAAACCTCAAAACATCCCACCCAGACCCACCCCACTATAACCCACCTAATCTACACATCTCTGAACACTACGGGCAATTTAGCATGGCCAATCCACCTAGCCTGCACATCTTTGGACTGTGAGAGAGGAAACCGGAGTACCTGGAGGAAACTCACGCAGACTTAACAAAAGAGAAGTACAGCACAGGAACAGGCTGGGACTTTTTTCCCTGGAGTGGAGGAGGCTGAGGGGTGACCTTATAGAGGTTTATAAAATCATGAGGGGCATAGATAAGGAGAATAGCCAAGGTCTTTTCACCAGGGTAGGGAAATCCTAAACTAGAGGACATAGATTTAAATGAGAGGATTTGGTCCAGATGTGGTCTTATCAAAACCCTGTACAATTGTAACAAGGCTTCTTTATTCCTGTACTCTGCCTCCTTTGTAATGAAGGCCAACATTCCAGTTGCCTTCCTAAATGCTTGGTTGCCTGCATGCTAACTTTCTGTGCACTTTGCATGGACATACCTAATTTTCTTTGAACATCAAAATTTAAATTTCACATGTTTCAGAAAATGTTTTGCTTCCTATTCTGAGACAGAACAAGCTGCTGTGAAGATTACTGGCCCACATAGGGTCATGAATATAGGACCAAGTGTCTGGCAGCTTATCCTTGTGAGTATTTGAAACTCTGAAATCATAGTACAACTATATTTGTAGCTGTTCATTCAACTTAGGACAGGAACAGCAAATTAGCAACTTTAGTCTATGTTCCCTAGAATATTATTCAATCATGTGCAACATGCAAAACTTCTTGCTGAGTTCTTAACTGTTCTTCATTTTCTTTTCTGTCTAGGGTCACCTGAACTTTAGAGATTCCTGCTGAAAGCACAAACCTCAGAGGAGGACCTTTCCTCTGAGGATGCAGTGAAAGGCACTCCACTTTTTAGAGACACCAGCTTTAACTTTGGCATTTCCTATAGGCTAGTTAGTGAATTAGAGATCTATACATGGTGAAGCTCTCAGAGGCAGCAGAGGACCTCATCTGATGGTAAGGTCCTTTCCAGTTCTACTGAGAATAGGCTTTGGAATTCCTTACTTCAATCAATCATGAAAAAATCATGGTGTTGAGAAGTACACCAAAACATTTCACCACTATGGCAAAGAGTGCAAGAGCCCCAACAAGCCACCATGATACTATCTCACATGCCATCATCAATTTGCAATCTGCCCTGGGCAGAATGATCATCTCTAGGAATTTTGTATCTAAACCTTTGCAATAAGAATCCATGATAACACATTTTGTAGTTCTGGCTGCAGAGCTAATTCTGGGGTTTATATTAGAGAAGATAATGAATCAAGTGGATAAGGATTTGAACAGGACACCTCCCCCCTCACCCCCATCCCAGGCCCCAAGAAGACCTTCCACATCAAACAGATGTTCACCTGCACATCTGCTAATGTGGTATACTGTATCCGCTGTTCCCATGTGGCCTCCTCTACATCGGGGAAACCAAGCGGAGGCTTGGAAACCGCTTTGTGGAACACCTACGCTCGGTTCGCGACAAACGACTGCACTTCCCAGTCGTGAACCACTTCAACTCCCCCTCCCACTCCTTAAACGACATGTCCATCCTGGACAGCCTCCAGTGCCACAACGATGCCACCCGAAGGTTGCAGGAACAGCACCTCATATTTCGCTTGGGAACCCTGCAGCCGAATGGTATCAACATGGACTTCACAAGCTTCAAAATCTCCCCGCCCCCGACCGCATCCCAAAACCAACCCAGCTCGTCCCTGCCACCCTGACCTGTCCGTCTTTTCTCCCACCTATCCACTCCTCCCACTTCAACCCCCACCCCCCACACTCCTACCTACCAGCCTCATCCCTGCCTCCTTGACCTGTCCGTCTTCTCTTGACTGACCAACCCCCATCCTAACTCCCCACCTACGCTCACCTTTACTGGCTCCATCCCTGCCTCCTTGACCCGTCCGTCTCCTCTCCACCTATCTGCTCCTTTATCCATCTTCCATCCACCTCCCCCTCTCTCTCTTTATTTCGGAATCTCCTTCCCCTGCCCCATTTCTGAAGAAGGGTCCAGACCCGAAACGTCAGCTTTCCTGCTCCTCTGATGCTGCTTGGCCTGCTGTGTTCATCCAGCTCTACACCTTGTTATCTCAGATTCTCCAGGGTCGGCATTCCTACTATCTCTGAATCATCTTCTAAAGACTGCTCTCCTGCAAATTCCTGGGAGTGATTATCTCCGAGAGCAAATGTGCACTGATGGGGGTGGTATGTGTTGACTTCTCTCTGGGTTTCAGTATACTTGCATTTTCACTCTTCCCCAAGTTACAGCAACCTGCAGCCACACCTTCACAGGTTCAAGTACTCAGAAGTCACTGACCACAAGTATCTCAAGGGCTTTTACATTAGAACAGCAGCCTTCCACCACCTCTGTGCAGGCACTGTGTTTGTGCAGCAGTTAGGAAACTTTAAAGTAGAGCATTATAGATTATTCACCTGGTTGAGCAATGAATGAATGATTATTTTTCAACGTAATGCAAGTGAACACCCACTGTGAAAGATTTCTGTACTTTTTTCCCTCTATTTAATACTTGGAAAATAAGTATTGTTCCATTCCATAGCAGAAAATTAGACTCTTAGATTGCCATAGCATAGAAGTGAGCATTGAGCTGATAAAATCTGTGCTGGTGTTTTTCTGAATTGATCACAGTGAATTTTCTTCCTTGTGGTTTTTGCTATTTTTTAAGAAACTATCTAATTCCACTTTTGAGAGAACTTATGTGTTCAATTAAACTTAATGATTTTAAGTTGAGGTAGGAATTGGTATTTGCTAGCACTGTACAGTCTCTGAGTTTTGATGAAGCAATTCATCCTGCATGCGTCAGGACAGACACAAGAAAGCAAATGTTAAGGGGAGCAAAATTAGTACTGCCTGACAATGCTAATAGTTGGCAAATTGTCTCTATTTAATTGAGGTGTTGCCACAAAGATTGCACCAGGGAGCTACTGCTGCCCCTCCTTTTACAGTAATGATCATTTTAAGAATATCACTTGGGCTCACAAAGTACTTTACTTATGTTTGACTTAAATTACAAATATTCAAAACATATCCTTTCCAGGCAAAAGGAATTTATCCAGGCATTGCTTTATTTCTAACAAAACAAAAGAATGGAATCAATAATTTCCTGGTGCAGTCTCTCCGGCAATATTTAGACCAATCAAAGTCCACTTGCTAACCAATCAGCATCCTTCTCTCACAAAGCATAGTTTTCTCTTCAAAAATTGGTATTCTTGCATCTGTCCAAATGATTGCAAGATGAAAAGCTTTTATGGTATGTCTTGTTTTACAGCAATTCTAAAGAAACTGGAGTGGTCTCTTTGCTCATCCTAGAGTAACTTGCCACTGTCATTGTGGGCACAAGGGAAGGTACACGATTTACGATCTGCCATTCAATTAGTACTCTTTTCTCATGCACTATAAGGCATTGCACCTTTTGAGAGTTGGCATTCTTGCATCTGTCCTGATGAAGGCATGATGATAATCTTCAACAATGTGTCTCTCTTTTCAGCAATAATCAGAAATGGAGGATAAAAACATTTTGGGGAATTCTAGCTCTTGCCTTTTACAGCAAGAGGACTTAGAGTTTTTAATTCCTGGACCTCATCTAAATACTCTGAAACTCACTCCTACCCAAATTAGCATGAATTATATCACTGTCAACAGGCAGGAGCCACAGTCATCACTGCTGACAGGTGGAAATCAAAATTAGTGGGTGAAGGCTTAATGTGAGGGAATCCGAGAAGCAGCCTCCAGAAAGTTGACTTAGGAATTTTTGGGGTGAAGGATGAGGCTGCTGTGTGGATGTGGTGAGACAGTATGTATAAAGTTGACGATCAAAGGGAGGAGGAGTTTGCTGGGTTTAGAGACAGAAGGTATTCTCTGTGACCACATGAACATTCATATTCATCCCAGCCCACAAAAGACCTTAAATGTTTTTAAAAAAGAGCTGGGTCATTCACTGTATGACGCCTGTGTGGTTTTGAGACTTCATCATCATTATCATCATGTGTGCTCTGCTCAAAGGCAGATCTTTGCCTCATTGTAATCTTTCCATGCCTGTCTATGCCATGCCAATTTGCATTTGCCAATAACTTTCTTAAACTTGTTTTGAGACAGCAGTCCTTAAATGGACCCATAATGAAAAGGATTTGCACATTTCAATAGCATGTGACACTGCCTTTTAAATTAGATCCTCATTCCTCTGTGGTGGGCTGTTTTATCATTGCTATGTTAGACTTTGGTGGGATGTGAAACACAGCAGGAAACTCTGAAGAAGGGCCTAGGCCCGAAACGTCAGCCTTCCTGCTCCTCTGATGCTGTTTGGCCTGCTGTGTTCATCCAGCTCTACACCTTGTTATCTCTAGGAAACTCTCTGTCGTCTTAGCCTATGCATATTGAGTGAGTCAAGTTAACACTCCCTGAAGGGCTTGTAACAAAGAATTTTACTTTCTAATCATCCTGTCTGTGATCTCCCCTTTAATTTTTTGATTTGTCTTTTCTTATCATGGTTTATTCAACCATTAGGCAGAATTTGTGTTTGATTACTTGATCATAAATAATCCTGTCAGTCCTTAATTGCTACAATTTTGGTTAAAATTATTCAAATTCTTAAATCTTGCTTCATGACCATCTCATCTCTGGCAGCATCCTGATGAAGCTGAACTGCATGTGACCCACTTCCTGAAGGGCAGCTTTGTTGAAAGCCAAATGAACGTCTCTATCAACAGTGGCAGAGCATAGAATGCTCATGCAACTATCTTCAACAGGAAAAACTAAATGGGTGATTATTTTAGGCTTTCCACTGAGATCTCTGCCATCACAGAAACCAGTATTGAGACAATTCAATTCATTTCACACTCCATCAAGAAATGGGCAAAGTAATCTGGGTGTGAAGGTCTATGCTGTACAACTATCTGTGGCTCAAGCCAATCTGTTCCAACATAGCTTCAATCCCATTACCTGCCAAACAATCTGGAGAATTGCTTAAGTATGTTCTGCCAATAAAAGAATGACATACAATCTGCGTGATTATTGTCCTCACAGTGCTATTAAGCAGTGCTTACCAATTTTCTCACCAACACGCAGTTTCATTTTGACCAAGAACACTTGGTATATAAGTATCATTACAGCCTTGATCCAAACTAGGGCACAAGATCTGAATTCCAATGTTGAAGCTCTCACCATCAATGCAGCATTTGATTTGAGTATGGCATCACGAAACCCAGTAAAGTTCAAATGAGTAGAATCAGGCGGAAAATTCTCCAGCTCAGGCCTAGAAAATCATTGCGGAGTGCCTCAAAGCAATTTCTAATTCTAAATATCTTCAGTTGTTTCATCAGTCATCATAAACCCAAAGGTTAGCTGGTGATTGCAGTTTCCAGATCCAAACTCAATTCTGTAGGTAACAAAGAATGAGTGTCTGCGTGCAGAAAACTTGAACTACATCAATGTCTGGGCAATAATAATCAGTACATTCACATCACACAAGTGTCAATTAACATCTATCCTTCAAAATGTTACCTTACAGAGATGTTTGCCAATGGTTGCATCAAAAATAAGTAACAGGTTATGTTAAAAGAACAGGAAGAAGAGGAAGCAGAAGAATTTGGAAGCTCAGTATTTTTCATCAAGACATTATAGGATACTGCATAAACAAGCTCACTTGGCTCATTGTACATCTGGTTATTCTTTGGACAAGTTATCAATTCATTCCATTCCTCTACTCCTTCTCTGTAGCTGCAATTGTTTACACAGTCAACTATTTATTCAAAGTTCATGTTAAACAGTACTAATTAATCTGCTTCCACCTTTTACACTCCTCTTTTACCTCTGCTGTTTTGCCAATTACCTTGAATCAGGGTCCTGTGGTTATTGAACCTCCTGAAAGTGTGGACTTGGAAGCGGCTATGAAACCACACTAAAGTCCTAAATTTAATACAGCTCAATAATTTAAAACCGGCCATGATAATTGCATGACTTCTCATAATATAATGTTCAAACCTTAGTGCTTTTGACAAAGCCCACTGGCCTTCATAATACAGTTGTTGAGACCTTTCACATGTTCATGGTGAATGACATCTCAGTCCATGACTCTGTGGTGGCCAGGCTATTAATTGCCACTATTGCTTGGAGACATGGTGAAGGAACATGTTGGTATCCTGCAATAGGGTAACATGCTCCCATTGCATTTCTGACACTCCCTTAAGGCTGGAGCTCATAACACTTCTACTAATATGCAGCAATGCACATTGAAAATTAATGGATTCTTTAAAGTTCCAGTCTATTTGTTTCACTAAACTCTTCAGGATAGAAACCACCCCATCCAAAATAAATATCAGTTTCTCAATGTAGTCATTTAACTTCCACTAAAAGCTATATATCTTGCTAAAGAGGGTTTCTGTTGTGAGATCCCATCACACAGCCTAGACAAGGTGGTGCTGATGCCTCAAGGGATGCACACTGCTGGAAGCAGAGTTTTCTGTATTCTCAATCATAGTAGTGAAATTCCTTGATAGAATTTCTCTTCTCTCAGTTATTTGTGTGTTATGGATAGCTTTTCTTTCCCGTGATTGAGTCCCTGGAATTGTCAGTTTTCTGGAGCAGCACTGGGAGAAGACTTGTTCCTTCCGTGAGCTGTATTCTGTACTGTTCCTACATTCACTACTTACTGCTGCCCATTGGTGGACAGTGATTCACCATATCTCACTCCTTTGCAGTCGCCATATAACCTATGCAGGGTACCAGTGACTAAGCAGGTACCTGGGAGAGATGGTGTGCATGATAGTGATGGTTTTTTTACTTACATGAAAGTAGCATTCAGAACAAAATGAACTAACAACAGAAATAGAGGTTATTGAATGTGATCTTAAAGCTGATACAGAGACATGGTTACAAAGAGATCAATGTTTGATTCAAAATATTCAGGGCTGTATGACTTTTTGAAAGGACAAACAGAAAGGAAATGTTGGTGGGACAGCTTTGTTAGTGGTATGCTTTAAGTGTAATTGCAAGAAATGGTCTTGGATCAGAGCATGTAGAATCAATGTGTGAAAGGAAGAAATAACAAAGCAAGAAAAAGATACTGTATCAGAGATAGTAGGAACTGCAGATGCTGGAAAATCTGAGATAACAAGGTGTAGAGCTGGATGAAGGGTCTCGGCCCGAAAAGTCAGCCTTCCTGCTCCTATGATGCTGCTTGGCCTGCTGTGTTCATCCAGTTACATCTTGTTATCTAAGAAAAAGATACTGATGAGGATAGTCAGTATGCTCCCTAACAGTAGCTATATTGTAGGACAGACAATAAATCAGATGATAATAAGGCACATTAAAAAGATATTCAAAACATATTCAATGAATTGGTGGTCATCTTCTAAAATCCTAAAGACTGAAGTTTGACAAATTTAACCCCACTGTTTAAAAGAGAAAGGAGAGGGAAAAAAAAAATTACAAAAAGTCAGCCTAACATCAGTATTGGGAAAAGTTTGAGAGTCTAATATAAAAGACAAGATAACAGAATGTTTGGAAATCATTAATAGGATTAGATAAAAGCAGCATGGGTTTATGAAAGGGAAATCATGCTTAACTGGAATTTTTTGAGCATACAGCTAGTGGAATACATAAGGAAGAACCAGTGGATGAAGTGTATTTGGATTTCAAGAAAGTTTTTGATAAAGTCCATATAAGAGATTTGTGGAAAAATTGAAGCACATTGACTGGGGGTAATACACTTGCATGGAGTGAAAAATGGTTGACATACCAGAAACATAGAGTGAGAATAAATGGGTCATTTTCTCAGATTCAGGTGGTGACTAGTAGTGCATTGTAGGGATCAGTGCTTGGGCCCCAGCCTTAACCATACATATAAATAAATGATTTGAATGAGGAAACCAAATGACAACCCAAAACTAGATTCTGAGTTGTGAGTTTAGTGATTGTAATGAGGTCAGTCAGGTGGATCACACAGAATATGTGTTTCCTGATTGGGGCTGCTAATCTGGTCCAATCAGGGAGACATGGTTGACAGATTTAAAAAAAGGAGAATCAGACACTCTGGGAACTGCCTCTGAGGGAGCTGGACCATTGTCGACGACTTTCCACGAGTAAATAAAAGATGATATGATGACGGGATACCGGCCTCTGCAGACATTATTTCAGTGGCGACAACAGTAAAGCACGTTCCTGAAGAAACTCAGAACAGTCGTCTTTGAGTTAGGATAAGCATTTCTTGCATCACGCTGTTATTTGGGAAGCTTGACTCATTCAAGCATCAACTCATCAAAGACTGGGCCTAGTATGTGGAAAGAATGCATTTTTTTTTCTGGGCAAATGACAGTGGGGCAGATCAAAAGCAAAGAGTAATTCTCCTGACAGTTTGTGGACCTACGGATTTTTCAGTTGTTAGGAGTCCAACTTTCCCTGAGGTACCAGATACTAAAACCTGTCAGTGGTTGATGGATTTATTTAAGGAATACTACAACTCCAAGCAACATCTAATTCTGAGATGCTATTGTTTTTACTCGGCAATTTGAGAACCAGGGGAATCCTTATCAGGATCTTTATCGAGGTTAAGACAACTAGAGGCAGGTGACTTTGGTTTGACCCTAAATGAGATGCTGAGAGACTGGTTGGTATGTGGGGTCAATGATGTAACCATGAAAAAGCGCCTACTAGCTGAAACCCAACTGGACTTCAAACAGGCACCACAACTGACTTTATCTTTGGAAAACGTGGCAAGTGCAGCATATGAGTTGCAGTGCATTCCGATGGAAGTGGACACCCTTGCCAGTATGACTAAGCTTGGGGAACACCACTTGAGGGCAAGCAATTGCATAGGCACATGCAGGACATATGCTGAACAGAGGGAGTCTAGGTCAGCCCACAGCAAAACCCCAAAACAAAGCCAACCCTCAGTGAAACAGTTAAAATTTTCTTCAGAATCTGGGCCGACAAGCGATTATAGTTGCTGCCAGTATGTCCATCACAAAGCTGGACGTGAGCCACGTGTACTCGCAATTGCGGTTAGATGAGAATTCCCAGAAGTATGCTACAATGAATACCCATAAGGGTTTGTACCTATATATGAGACTGAAATTTGTCATTTTGTCAGCCTATACAAATTTTCAGCAGATGATGGAGAACGTTTTAAGAAGTCAGGTTGCCATTTATCTAGATGACATGCTAATTTGATTTTGGTTTGACTTGATTTGGTTTGATTTACTGTAGTCACGTGTACCTAAGTACAATGAAAAGCTTTGTACAGTACAGGCAGATCATAGCAAACCAGGACAGACAGGTCATAGGGTGCTTAGACAGGGCAAGGCATATAAGGATACAACTGCACAGGAGGTGCGCAAAGCAAGATCAACATTACTTGAAGTTAGACAGTCCATTCAGCAGTCTAATAATGGCAGGAAAGAAGCTGTTCTTGATCTTGATGGTGCACGTGTTCAAGCTTCTGTATCTTCTGCCTAATGGAAGAGGTTGTTCAAGAGCAATACAAGGGTGGGAGGGGTCTTTGATGATGTTGGCAGCATTTCCATGGCAACAACAAATGTAAATGGAGTCGATGGCTTCTGTGATGGTCTGGGCTGTGCATACAACCTTCTGTTGTTTCTTCTGGTCCTGGGCAGAGCAGTTGCCATACCAGGCTGTTATGCACCCAGATAGTATGCTTTCTATGGTGCATCTGTAAAAGTTGGTGAGGGTCCTTATGGACATGTCAAATTTCCTAATAACAGGCAAGATCAATAAGGAGCACTTAGAGAACTTGGACATAGTCCATAAGTGGTGCTCCCAGGTGGGCGAATGCTTAAGAAGGGAAAATGTGTGTTCCAGGTACTCTAAGTGACCTACCTGGACTACAGACTTGACTAGACCTGTTGGAAGATAAAGTGAGGGTAATCAAAGGTGCGCCAACTCCGATGTTTGTACCAGAGCTTAGGTCTTTCCTTGGGCTAGTGAATTATTACGGAAAGTTCATACATAACCTGGCCTCCAGTCTGGCACCTTTTAGGAAAGTG